CTCCTGAAGTCTAGGGCCACCACCTTGCTGCGGGCCCTTGACACTCTACGCTGGATGGTGAATTCCAGCACGCGATGATCACTATTGCCCAGGTGGTCAAGAACCTGGAGGCCTCTTACCAGGTCGTCGCCTGCGGCCAGGACCAGGTCCAGCAGAGCATCTCCTCTGGTGGGACTGTGCACCTCCTGAATCAAGTGGAGGTCCTGCAACTCGGCCAAGAACCTCCTGGAGCGGTCCGTCCCGGCTGACTGCTCCTCCCAGCAGATGTCCGGGTAATTAAAATCGCCCATGACAACTACATCCCTTGCTTTTAGTGTCTCCGCAAGCTGGCCTGAAAATTCCCTGTCCAGCTCCTCCTCCTGATTGGGGGGTCTGTAATAGACCCCCACCGTCAAATCCCTCTCGCCTTGCCCCCCCTGGATCTTGACCCAGAGCACTTCAGCTCGCCCTTCCCCTGACCCCATACTGCTGGCAGAGGATGTGTAGTGCTCCTTGACATAAAGTCCCACCCCCCCCCCTGATACCCACAGGCATGCCAGAATAAGGAACATGGCTTTAAGTGAAGAGGTAATGTACAGGAAGAAAAAGTAACTATAGTATACTACATACAAGTAACTTTTTATATGTGGTTACATGTAGTTACCTGAAAGTCTGACCAAACTTATAGAAGTGATGCCACCAAATTTAATATTCACTTGTGCAAATACCTACAATGCAAATATCCAAATGACAAAACCAGCATGCACATGCTGATTAGGTTCTCAGAGCATATACTTGAGTTTATACCATTCTAGGCCCTTGGTGCTACTCAGGGAGAGCTTTAATGATACCTGTAGCAGTGCTAAGCACACACGGTAACAGAGAAGAGGCATAAACTTAGCTTGCTAGGCATCTTTTCACTAATCACTAGTTTAGGTTGATTACAAGTCTGCGCGAGATACACAGTGAGTCAACAGCCACTATAGCTCCATTCTTATACTAGTTTTGGGTTACAGAAGGACTTTACCAAGTGTCAAAACCAGCAGCATAGGGACCTAGCCAGGTGCCCGGTACACAGGGGCAGCAGTGACTTCCAGTTGCTGCTGCAGTTTACAATTGCAATCACATAGCTGTCAACAACCACTTTTTTTGCTTGTCCTTCCCCTGTCCCACCCATCCCACCCCAAGTCAGCGCCCAGGCTGGTTGCCATGTTTGCTCTGCCCGACTTATGCCACTGCCCAAAACCACAGTCTTGCTGATCGATTACACTGATGCTGTGAAGGTGCAGAAAACTGCCCTTTGGAGGCTGGTACCAACCCATCTTGACCTCATCAAGAAAGATGTCCTGAGTGTCCTCAGTCTGTTCTTATCCTTATGGGATGGTGTCCCGCCTAGCAGCTCTAGATTTGGGCACCATCTTCCACTCCAGCGATGGCTGCGACTCCTGTGGGGGCTGTACCATGGGCGACCGGGCCTGCAAAGAACAGAAATAGGCATCAATTTCGTCCTCTGCCTCCCTGATCCCCCTCAGCCTACTCACCGCAGCCTGGAGCTCACCCACCTGCTCCTCCAGGGCACTAAGGCGTGCACAGGAGGGAAAGGCCGGGAGACCACCAGGCTCCACCCCCGCCCAGGGCCCCGCCAAGCCCCCTCCGCAGACAGGGGGGCAAGGGGCCACCGACTCCACCATGAGCTCCGTCTGGGTGGAGGCCTCAGAAGAGCCCGTGGTAGGCGGCAGCCCCCGGGCAGGGCCCCTGGCAGCTGCGCTCCGCGTCTGCATCACCATGCCGCAGAGGTGCGCCCGCTGCCTACTCCCTGGAGGAGCTACCCTGTGCAGCTCCCTCGCGCCCGCCTTACGCGAACGCCGGCGCGCTCTTACAGAGCGCGCCTGTTTGCGCGCACTATTCGCGCGCGGCTCCCTGCCGGGCGAGCTAAGGCGTCGCCGAAGGGCTTCCCCTCCAGATCCGCCTCAGCTGTGCTGCGCTGTCTACCCCACTTATCTTAGGGGGGAATCAGCTGTTGCTGCCCCCGCCGCTGGTTTCCTCCGCTGCTGCCGCCTCCGCCGAGGTAAGCAGGTACACGTGTGGGTGGCACACGTGCACCGTGCTCCCCTCGCTCCTGCTCCCCAACTGCCAAAAGATACCTGCAGAACTGTTGGACAAAACTATAAAGTATACTTCTCAACCTGATGCATCTGTGTCTGTGACTGGTTTAGTGACTACACTCTTGGCTGTCTCCCTTGTCACCTACCTGCAACTTGCCTGCTGGATCTGGTCCAGGATTAGATTTCTAAGATTAGCTTGCTGATCATTTCCTGTGACTCAGGTGTGATTTGTGGGATATTTGCTTCCTGGTGTATATTTTATTTGGCCAATCAAGGAATTCTGTTTTTAGTTCTAATGTGCATGCCTGCAAACCTGAACTCTACAGAGGACAGGACTTGTCATGTAAATTGGTATATTTGTTTATTTGCACCTTATAGATTGATTAAATATAGTCTGTAAGGTGCAAATCTATCCTGCCTAACTTCAGACAAGCACTGCCAACTATTTCTGTATATTTGTTTATGGCCATAAAAAATGTTGGCATTCCTCAGTGGAATAAATGCCAGGATAGTCTTTAAGTACCAGATCCAGTGGGTGGCCAGGTCAAAAGAATCAGTGTTACAGACTCTGGTGTATTGGTGAAACCCATCAACATACCATGCCAATGACAGGCACAAAGGCACATAGCTAAACTCATCCACAGTAGAACAATAGAAAATTCCCTTGCAGCTGTGCAGAAGAGATCCGCAGGTCACATGTATGGGACAGGACCACCCTATGCATATCATGTATCAGAAAATATTGTTAACATTAATAATACATTTTAAATTCTATATGGAGAACCAAATGCTTGGCTCTTATAAGTAGCTACAGCTCCACAGAATTCAAAAAGCTTTACATCAACTTTATATGTACTGCTGAGTAAAAACAATTAGCAATTCAGTAATGCTTGAGGAGTTGAAGTCCTTGCATTGACAGTAATTTACACTACCCCAGAGCAATAGGTAATATTTACACATTACAGAAGAGGAATAGATGGAAGAAAAAGTGACTTCTTAAGTCCACATGGTGAGTCAGAGGCTAAGCCAGGACTCTAGCTCTACTATATGGTAGGACTCATGTTTGTTTTCCACCGGTGGATCACTCAATGTAGACCACAATCTATATGTTCCTGTATATGTGTGAAATTAAATAATACAGTTTATTTTATATACATATAAAGTGGGGGTGGAGGAGGGGTGTGTTTGTGTATAAATCCAGCTGTAATGGCAATAGATATATTGGCAATAATAAAAATATAATTAATACAGCCAAGGACAGAATATTATACTATACTATATTATACTGTATGTATAAATGGTATCAATATGGTTTTCGAACTCTATTTCAAAATATTTCAATACATATTCCAGCTTAAGTGTAGATTGCATGCAGAGCAGCAGGCATGTTTGGAAAGCACACTGGTGAGTGCTACCACCATCTGAGTAAACACATAAATAAATAATAATGATTAATAACTTGCCAGTTTCATATCAAGCTAACAGATTTTCAACATGAAATACTGCCTGATAGCAGCCTTTCTCACAACACGTGAAGCTGTGTCAGTATGCCAGCTCAGTGTGAGGTTGTCTAGAATACCATGGATGTATGTTAAAGCTGTTAGGAGGACTACTTAATCTTACCACTTCTTTTTAGTCACTTTTCCAGCTGAAGCCAGGGAAAAA